TGAACGATTCCTTTAAAGTACATTAGACATTCTGGATGTCAGAGCAGCAGTTAGACGGCAGACGAACATCCTGCGGGTCAAATGATGAGCTGAGGCGACGCTTTGGTGCATCGTTGGCAGGCGGCGCTGATGCAAACCGCATCAGAGCGCGCTAGACGTTACCTCAACGCTCCCACTGCGAAGGCACCAGCAACGTTTAGCTGCAGTTAGCGAGTCCATCATTCTGTATTATTATTATTATATAAAGTCATTTAGTTTCGTTTCTGTTATCTATGAAGTCTTCAAAGTGTAAAGATGCAAAGTTACTGATAAACCGCCGGCACACCGACTCCAAGAAGGATTCAAAACAACATGAAGGAGGCAAGACACAGAGTTCTCCGTCTGGAATACACATCGAGTGCAATGAGAGAAGAGGAAGAGCGAGTTTTTACGGTTAAACTGTAGAATTAGCACACATTTGTCATGGAAATTCAGATGTGATTTCATGTGATTCAAGGCAGGATTCACTGCTTTTACATCTCTGTTAACTGAATGTGTTTGGGTTCTGAAGCTTCAATTAGTCACTTAAGTTTTGAGAAACTGACATTTAATAAATGAAACTAATAGATAAGGTTTGGTTTCTTTGAGGATTTCATGTCTTCTGGTTTGTAACGCTGCTTCAAACAGACGTTAAATACAGAACCACATATTATTAAGGATTGTTTTAACATTTTAAAGATGAGATTTACATTAAAGTGCAATTAATTTTATTTTTTACTTCTTATTTTCTGACTTTTGAGGAATTATGAGAAGAAGTGTCAAATGTCTCATTAACAAAATGACTAATCAATAACAAAATGAACCATTTAGAGCCAAAGTCTTGCTCACTGTGGTTCTGTGGGTTCGTTTCTATTAAAGCGCCCTGAGATGACACGTTATGATCAAGACTAAATAAGAATATTACTTTAATCTAACTGTGTTTTGTCGTGTTCTGTTTTGTGTAATTGACAGGTTTTGAAATATTTCTGATATATTGAAGTCTGTTTGATGCACTCCTGCCAGGATGTTCCTCTAATTAAGGTTCAGTTCTGTACTTTTTGAATTGTTGATCATTTTAACATCTCTTTGCTTCTGACTGCACCTGTATTGACTATTTTGAAAATGTTCTGATTTAAAACCCGACTGAGACCAGAACATGTCCATGTAAACACATTTAAATACGTCAAACCTTCTCTGTCATTAAAAACAGGTACAAATGTAAAATGTAAAAATCCTCATTGTAGCTCGATCCAATGTTATTACATAATCATACAGTTTTGATGATGATGATATTTTCCTTCATGCTGCTGTCCTTTAGGATGCATTTTTAGATTGAACAGTACACAGTCCTGACCCGATAACCCGTCCCTTAACAATCCTAAACCTGCTATCCAACAGGTTTGTAGGAAAAACCACCAGAACCCATAAAAACAGCCTTAACATAGCGACAGCCTTGGATTGTGACTCCGACATGACATTTAATGTCACCAATCAGGATGACGG